GTACGTACGGAACGTAATTAGTTAGTTAGTTAGTAGTATATAGTGTAGTAGTGTGTGTGTGTGTGTGTGTGTATATATATATATATATATATATATATATATAGTAGTGTGTGTGTGTGTGTGTGTGTGTGTGTGTGTGTGTGTGTGTGTGTGTGTGTGTGTGTGTGTGTGTGTGTGTGTGTGTGTGTGTGTGCATGTGCATGTGTGTGTGTCTGTGTGTGTGTATACCGCGGAGATGAACATACAGCTACGATCGTGTGCTGTGTCGAGCTCTCGTACCGCCGCGGAAATTAAACGCATTCGTATATAACGGCGTCAATAATATTCTACGTAATTTGTCTCCTTCACATCGTCAGAGCGTCGATGGATTCTCGTTGCGTCATAGCTACTCGTGTAAAACTGCTAAATGCCTATTCATACGAACGCTGAAATATTCAACGCTCGTCGTTATCAACTTTGTTGTATGTATATTGTTTGTTGGTGGTATTGTTCGTATGCAGGCGAGGTATTGACGCGATAAGTAAGCTAAAAAGCTGTAGTTGGCCGACTACACATTATGTCGTTGCTGGCGGTATAGAACACCTACTGACAGCGGTTATTAGCAATTACCGGGTGTGTGGCTGCGCCGTGCAAACACATCATGTAGCATTAGCCTGTAAACAGTAGCAGCCGGACAACGATACACGTACCTGGTTTTTTATCACTGTCGTGGCCCTGTGACTTGCCATCTCCGATCGACTCGTCGTTGTGACCACTGTCCGTTTCGTCACCAGAACTACATGATTCACTGTCTCTCGGCTCGCAGTTATAGACGGGCGACACGCACGTCTGCCGCGGCTTCGCCAGAATGTCGTTGATCATGAACGAGGACTTGTTGGCCATCTCGGGCGACTTCGACGCCAGCCTCTCGTCCTGTGCCTGGTTTCGTGGCTCGAGGACAGCAAGTCGTTCATCAGGATGCTGCTGCTGCTGCTGCTGCTGTTGCTGTTGTTGCTGCTGCTGCTGCTGCTGCTGCTGCGGCTGCTGCACGTCCACCACGAGACTCTCATCGTCCCCCTCGTTGACGTCGTCTTCTGGTTTTCGCGCCATTGTTCCACCGGCTCCTCGTGCAGGATCTTCCATGTGCGTCGGAAACTGCGAAATCATAAGTTCGCTCGCGCTGCGTGCTCGGCCGCCGGTGAGGGAGTGATACTGGGGACAGACGGTGACACGCGGACAGGAGGAGGCACACGGAGCACCTGGTGCTGTGTACAGGCGCGCGGGTGTGCGCCGCGCCGCAGATATATGAAGTCTCTAACTTTCGTTGATCGCTCGCGGTATGTGCCGAGAGCTTACCGAGTAGCGAGTGCCACAACAGACAACTTCCTCGACAGTATAACGAGCGTAAAACTGTTCCGCCAGGGTTTTAATAGTACGATTGCTGCGTCGCTGCTGGATTATCAGTTTTGATGGCAGACGACTTACGCTCGCGCGCGCTGATTGGTCGCCGCTGTCTAGCGCCCGCCCATCCGCCGATCGCAGCCGATCAATGCAGCTTAGCGGCTCGTCAGTTTGCCAAGCGGGTTTTTACGCAGAATTTCGCAAATTTCTGCCTCTTGCCTCCCCGATGGTGATTTAGTCAGTTAGTCAGGCAGGAAAATTACCGGTGCTCGCCGCTGATTGGCCATGCCGCCTCGTCGGCGTCGGTACGTTTACATGGAGCCCAGCAGACGTAGACAGCATGGACGCTCCTGTACAGGTGTCGCCGCTACAAGCCGCACGGTAACAGCGCGCGCAGAAGACGTGGTCCGTAGCCAGGCGGCAGGGAACAGAAGCTCATAGCACGAAACTCATCGTGAGGCCGGCGAATTTCTCGACCATTTTCGCATTAGCATATACAAGTAGAAAATCTCGTATCCACAGGCATAGCGTGTGCATGTGCAAATGGAGCATGCACAAAGCGAAGCTATTTGAAGCTATAAGACATTCGCGTGCGTGGGGTTAAGTACTACCACATTTTACTGCACACATGATCGCGTCGTTTTCGACGAGCGTTTGTGTATGAAAAAAAAGATGAAACGATGCCATCTTTTCCATATAAATTCTCTCGCCACGTAACTTATCGATGGGCGGCAGCGTAATTTGCAAGATGCTCATAACCATGCGTTGTCATCGTTACATGCGATATCTCCAAGCGAAAACATTCATCGCTGATGTAAAAAATTTGTGAAAGAGAGAAAGAGAGAGTATGTGCGTTGTGGTGTGTGTGTGTATGTGTGTATGTGTGTGTATGTGTGTATGTGTGTGTGCGTGCGTGCGTGCGTGCGTGCGTGCGTGCGCGCGCGCGCGTGTGTGTGTGTGGGTGTGGGTGTGTGTGTGGGTGTGTCTGTGGTTCTGTGTGGGTGCGTGTGTGTGCGCGTGTGTGTGTGTGCGGGTATGTTCGTGAGAGAGAGAGAGAGAATGTAAGAGAGAGGAAACGGAGCGCTCGATGACGCGTTGGCGTGCGCAGTCGGCCATAGTA